TTTCGAAGGTGATATTGAAAAGAATCTACTGGTATCCAGGACCGGGAAACATAAACCTTATTATACGACTACTTTCCCATATGATCGAGACAAGATTTTGAATCGAACATATTGTATCCATCTGATATCTTCCAATTTTATCAAAGAATAACGAAATATTTGGATTTTAATTTTTTTTATTCCCTACCAAAAATTTCCCATTGAGTCCAATGTCTTAAACAACTTGCTAAGACCATCGATTTATCTAGCCATTCATCTATACTTAAAAACATTTAATCATTGATGTTGTACGTATTGAACGGATGAATGTGTTGAAAGGAGTATAACCAACAATTCTTATGCATTTTTGGTATAACAGTTTATCATAATGCTTCAATATGTATTCGAACCCAGATGTACAATCACCACATACCAAATGTTCGCACATCTACAAAACTTATGTATGTATGTACACATATTCTTATGCACGCATACCAAACAACGGAATTCAATCCATTATAGTTGATTAATAACTTTTTGTTCTTGTTGCTGTTAGCTGCTGTTGATGGTTTTACTAACGAAAACTTTTCCAACATTGCAGATGAATTTGGAAATGTGTGAGTGTGCAAAAGTGAAGTGAATAAATGAATATACATTTATGTGCTTACATACATACCTCTCTAAACTTACCGGGGGCATAATTACCAGTGTCATGCCAAATTCAGTTTGACATTTGAATATAAGAGCATATTTACATACTAATATAAACAGAGACCGAGAAATAGCACGAATGTGTAAAATCCATGATACATTACTCAAAACATTAAATCTATCTACAGTACTGTTTGAAACTTAAGCAACTCTTCGTAATTTCTATGATAGCTAATCCTGAGCTGCCCAACTGTGAAGAATGTTTCACACAATTGTCATCCTGAAGAAGCCTATAAAATATTCAGTTCCTTAAAGCATATACATAGTTGTCTTTAAACGATTTTAAACAAAAGAGCCTAGTTAAGTCTCGCTAAAGCTTAAATGTACTACTAAATTTTTTACCCGATGTACTATTATAGCATTAGGAAACAATTTTATTACATTGTTGTTTAGATTTTAAACAATACTGTATGAGTTCATGGTTGTATTTGTGTTTGTTGATATGGGCGTGCGTTTTATTATCCATCCTTTAAGTACACCCTATTTTAGAGATGGATATACGAAATAAATTCCTGAAGTGTCTTCAACAGAAACAAAATGTAGATCAACTACAAGTTTCGGTAACTAAATATACATACATATGATTCATCACATATGTACGTAATTATTTGCATACAGTGTACAGCAATGCAAAAACACTTCCATGAACTTTACTATCCAAACATAGCTGGTTTCTTTTGGACCAATAATTCTACAGAATCTTGTGACATAGGTCATATTATTTGATAAAAATCTAAAAGTTTAAAATATTTATTAATTAAGTTATATTGTATTTCTGCTTACTGTCTGCTTGTTCGTACTACTTAAAACATATACATAGAGGAAAACTTCAGTAAATTTTTGACTGAGTCTATTTTATGGTTTCAAAATTGCACCATTGAAATGCCATCAACAACAACACTAACATATAACTCTTTCACACATTACAAAATTTTCCAAAAAGCAAATTATCACCCACCCACTCAATCACTTATACACCAATCTAAAGGACAATAAGGATAACAGCAAAAAAATAATTGCACATTATATAAATGGCAATTTATTGAGTACACCTTTTAAGGAAATCCAAAATTAAAACATGCATATTATTGCAAACTTAAAAACATAAGTGAGTATGTGCATATGTGTTTGTACCCTTTCCATGTGATATAACTGCACCACAACATCCGTAAAAATATACCATATTTTACCATTAACCAAAGTCCAACTAAAATGAGACAGAGTACAAAAACCACACAAATGTGCGTGATAATAATTTTTATAACACAAACAGAAAAACCACACTAGCACATACTAGTACATCATTTCATTCATAATGTATAATGGAAAATTTACAAAACCAACAAAAAGGAGATACAAGATATTTAGCTACAGGTGTATATGTATGTATCCAGGTGTTTAAATTGAACTAAATTCTCACATGACTCATTTGTTAACGAGTAAACATTTGTACATATTTTAGTTAAACTACATGTAAATCATGTTTATGTACATTCATACATACATGTACATATACTATATTTATTTAAGTAGAATGTCAGTCTGTCATAAGTCAAAACATATCAATGTAACTTTATTAATGTAGTTCTAGTTCAGTTCTAGTTCAGTTCTAGTTCAGTTCTAGTTCAGTTCTAGTTCAGTTCTAGTTCAGTTCTAGTTCAGTTCTAGTTCAGTTCTAGTTCAGTTCTAGTTCAGTTCTAGTTCTAGTTCAGTTCTAGTTCAGTTCTAGTTCAGTTCTAGTTCAGTTCTAGTTCAGTTCTAGTTCTAGTTCAGTTCTAGTTCAGTTCTAGTTCAGTTCTAGTTCAGTTCTAGTTCAGTTCTAGTTCAGTTCTAGTTCAGTTCTAGTTCAGTTCTAGTTCAGTTCTAGTTCAGTTCTAGTTCAGTTCTAGTTCAGTTCTAGTTCAGTTCTAGTTCAGTTCTAGTTCAGTTCTAGTTCAGTTCTAGTTCAGTTCTAGTTCAGTTCTAGTTCAGTTCTAGTTCAGTTCTAGTTCAGTTCTAGTTCAGTTCTAGTTCAGTTCTAGTTCAGTTCTAGTTCAGTTCTAGTTCAGTTCTAGTTCAGTTCTAGTTCAGTTCTAGTTCAGTTCTAGTTCAGTTCTAGTTCAGTTCTAGTTCAGTTCTAGTTCAGTTCTAGTTCAGTTCTAGTTCAGTTCTAGTTCAGTTCTAGTTCAGTTCTAGTTCAGTTCTAGTTCAGTTCTAGTTCAGTTCTAGTTCAGTTCTAGTTCAGTTCTAGTTCAGTTCTAGTTCAGTTCTAGTTCAGTTCTAGTTCAGTTCTAGTTCAGTTCTAGTTCAGTTCTAGTTCAGTTCTAGTTCAGTTCTAGTTCAGTTCTAGTTCAGTTCTAGTTCAGTTCTAGTTCAGTTCTAGTTCAGTTCTAGTTCAGTTCTAGTTCAGTTCTAGTTCAGTTCTAGTTCAGTTCTAGTTCAGTTCTAGTTCAGTTCTAGTTCAGTTCTAGTTCAGTTCTAGTTCAGTTCTAGTTCAGTTCTAGTTCAGTTCTAGTTCAGTTCTAGTTCAGTTCTAGTTCAGTTCTAGTTCAGTTCTAGTTCAGTTCTAGTTCAGTTCTAGTTCAGTTCTAGTTCAGTTCTAGTTCAGTTCTAGTTCAGTTCTAGTTCAGTTCTAGTTCAGTTCTAGTTCAGTTCTAGTTCAGTTCTAGTTCAGTTCTAGTTCAGTTCTAGTTCAGTTCTAGTTCAGTTCTAGTCAGTTCTAGTTCAGTTCTAGTTCAGTTCTTCTAGTTCAGTTCTAGTTCAGTTCTAGTTCAGTTCTGTTCATCTAGTTCAGTTCTAGTTCAGTTCAGTTCTAGTTCTGTTCAGTTCTGTCAGTTTTCTAGTTCAGTTTCTAGTTCAGTTCTAGTTCAGTTTCTAGTTTCAGTCTAGTTAGTTCTAGTTCAGTTCTAGTCTCAGTTCTAGGTTCAGTTCTAGTTCAGTTCTAGTTCAGTTCTAGTTCAGTTTCTAGTTCAGTTCTAGTCAGTTCTAGTCAGTCTAGTTCAGTCTCTAGTTCAGTTCTAGTTCAGTCTAGTTCAGTCTAGTTCAGTTCTAGTTCAGTTCCAGTTCATTTCAGTTCAGTTCTAGTTCAGTTCTAGTTCAGTTCTAGTTCAGTTCTAGTTCAGTTCTAGTTCTAGTTAAATTTAGTAGTTGTGTCATTTACACATTTATGTGAGCATATCATGAATGTTCGTACATACATATGTTAATAATATACCCTAATGATTAATTCATTTCGAACAAAATAACAATCAAAATTATGAAAATAGCTGCGAGCAGATTTTAAAATATGTGCATACATACAATGTATTTATGTATGTAACCACAAATGTACTAGTTTAATAATTTTTTATTTGAAAGAACAAACACTTTAAGTGAAGGAGTTAAAAGTCATTGAACTATATTGAATTGCTAACCACAAAAAAAAATCGTATTTACAAAAATATTTCAACAAAAATCTATTGTTTTTATGAAAACATAAAACCTTAATTTTTGCAGTAAACCATTAAAATCTATAGTCACCTAAAATTTTCAACAGAAAGCGAATTTTGTATAAAAACATTAAATTTCTATTTTAAATATAAAACAGTTGTGAAAACAGTGAAAATTTGCTAAGGTTTCATAATAAACATTTCATTCAATTATATTTTTTACAAACAATTTGAAATAATTTCTATTTATGTATTTGCATTTAAAATTTAACTGTAATATTTGAATTATCAATTTAATTATAACGGTTTGCCAAAAACGAATGCCGGTCACAAAGTATGGCAACACATTGTTCAGCAGCAACAAGTTGTTTTGTGTTGTTGTAGTTTTAGTTTACTTAATTTCATTATATTATCTAACTTTTGTTAATCTTTCACTATTTTTCTTAAGTGTGAATTCTAATTTATATAAATGTCATTGTTTTGATTATATTTATCACTTACATATATTTTTTAATTAAAACCTATATTTTCACTAAACATTTTGTGGACTCTAAAAAACGGTTTATTTTTACTGACAGATAATATGAGCTACCGTATGCTATAAAGTCATTGGAGTTGCCAGAATTTATGATAAATATTAGTGTTTTTTTCTTGGTGGTATAGCATTAAATTAGTATATTTCTTCAGCCATTTAATAGAAACTGTAATAATATATTTAAATACATCTATATTTATGAAAACAAAATCCCTTAAATTATTGCTGTAAAAAGTTCCACTTTATTATAAACGCTCCGGCAACCTTATTTTCATTTACAACAGCTACCACCTATCTGGCAGCATGTTGTAATGTGGATGTCATCTTTGTTTACTTTTGTGCAAGAATTGTGCTTGCTTTATTGTTGTTGTTTTTATTCGATTGTGTACTTGTAAAGATTCAAGAAAAAAAGTGTTTCGGAAAATAGAATCGTCGGGGTGTGTTGTAAAATAGAAATTCTTAAAATAATTTAAAGATTAATAAATAAATAACAAATATATTTGCCAAAATATATAAACAAATACAAGACTATGCACTTTAAAGTAAGTTAATAAAAGTAAAACTGAGGAAGTACTAGACCTGTAGACAAACTGAAGCATATTTCTTCATCTGCCCAACCTGTCTGTCTATACAAAAAAATCTTATAATTTATTCCCACAATATTGAGTACACATGCACGTATGTTTGTAAGATATTTTTACATGTATCACTAGCTTTAATCTGCTGTACGAATTGGGGGAACTTAATAATTAATATAAACAATAAGAGAAATCGAAACGTAAAAAAATTAATATTAAAAGAAACTGGTTGCTACTGAGCAAAAGAATATTTAAGGAAAAGTTTTTTTGTGGAATTGGTGTATGCGTGTGCAGTGCAGATAAAAGATGATGTTGATGACGAGTAGCATAGATCTTTGTATAATGTATGAAAATTCTGGAGAAAAATTGTATTGATGTTTTTACGGTGTGTAGGAGGCTGTTAGTTTTTAACTGACCTCTGCTACCTTTTTTATTTAATTAACACAATTGCAAACAAAATTGTGAAAAAATTTTGATGTGAAATCATACAACGAGGGTGTTCGAAAAAGATTTTAAAATAAAATTAATGAGTGTGCAAGAATATACAATGGGACGTATTTGGTAAAATTTTAAAGTTATTTCCTAAACAAAAGTTCAAAGAACTTCAAAGTTTAATATCAATATACATTTTAAGCGTTTTTACTAAACTATGGTCTAGTGTAATGACTTTTTCATAGTCTAGTATCTTTACTAGTCTATAGACTAGTCAATTCATTAGTTTTTGGGCTATTTTTTATAGACTAGTCTACAATGTAGTCTATATATTAGACTATTGTATGGTCAATATACTAGACTATTGTATAGTCTTTAGACTAGTCTAATGTATAGCCTATATACTAGTCTAATGTATAGTCTATAGACTAATCTAATGTCTAGTCTATAGCCTTATGTATATGTTTTTTAGAGGCAAGTCTATGATTTAGTCTTTTGGCTATTCTATTAACAAGTCTATTGAATGACTCAATTGCAACTTATTGCAAATAAAGATAAGATTAAAGTTCCTAATTATGTTATGAATTTATATTTCTGGAATAATTAATAAAGAGTAATCCTTAAAGAATTTGTTTGAGTTATTAATGGTTTCGTTATGAAAAGTACATATACATAGGTATGAGTTTTAAAATATGCACTAAATACACAATTGAATTTTGATATAGGTACTAAAGCAACTTTTCAGACGGCTTTCGTAATATCTTCTTAAGAAAGTGATTCATCTGTATTATTAAAAGGAAAATAAGAAATTTCAGGACCAAATCACATTACTTTTTGATCAATAACATTTGTAACGAAATGAAATTGACAATGTTGCTCTAAATTTTTAAACATTTCAAATAGTCACTTAACAATCTAAACAAATAAATGTAGAAAATGTATCTGCATTAAAGTGAAGTTAGAAAAAGTTGACAAAACTTCTAAAGCAACTATACAATTCAAATTTACAATCAAACTTAATAATTTTTAGTGTTAATTAGAATAACATATGTTTACAATTTCAAAAGTTTTTCAATTCTAACGGAAACTTAAGAAAATTTTACTTTTAGTTAAATAGAATTAAAAACAATTTTTTTAAATTCAACTTATTCTAAAAAATCTGAATAATTGCTATTGTAATATCATACAAATAATTAATTTTTTATACACAACCACTGTTTCTCATACACACAATATCCATCTATTCAATATGCACCCATATTAATAAAAACAAAAATTAAATTTTAGTATACAAAGCTTTACATTTGAAAATACCTACAAAATATTTAGAGATTTCCATAATATTGTTGTACATTCATGTTTGAATTTAATTTAATAATTTTGTTGTTTTGCTTATTGTTTAATTATTTATTGTTGTTGTGGATTTTTTTTTACTTATAATTTCTGACATAGTCCATAATGGCATTGAATTGTTTATACGTTGAGACGTGTTTAAATCAGAAAAAAAAGAAAAAAGTATATTTTGTCTACGATCGCATATATACTAGGCAAAAGAGTTTAATGCAAATTTTATTTAAACAAACTACAAAAAAACGACGATTACTAGATAGTATGTCAATTTTAGAAAAATATGTTAATTTTAGTTTAAAGAAATTTCTTTTAATTTGTTTTTTGCTTCTTATTTTTGAAAATGTACCGCTTTGTTTAAGAATATTGAGGCAAATGATTTAAGATTACTATTTTTTCGTTATGTTCTCTTTTAGGTTTAATTTCTCAGATTAATTTAAGCTTAGTATTAACCCTTAAGATGGGAACTGAATTTTATTTAATAGTAAGAATTGATATTTTCGAAAAGTAGAATTATTAAAACAAATTTAATAAGTTACGAATTTTTGTTAAAAAATTTTTTTTAATTCGAAAAATATAGAAAATTTGTTTGAAATTTGAAAAATTTTATATAAAATTCGAAATTATAGAAAATTCTATGAAATTTGAAATTGTCATATTTTAAAGAAATTTAGAAATTGTCAAAAATTTTTTTATAAAATTCGAAATTATAGAATTGAAATTCGAAAATATTGAAAATTTTAGAAATCTATTTTTTCTCAATTTTTTAATAATTGAAATTCAAAATTTGAAAAATGTTTTAATAAATTTGGAAATAATGAAAATTTTCTAAAAATTCGATATTAAGACAAGTTTTTTTTAAAAAAAATAACATTTCGGAAAATAACCAATCGAAAAATAACATTTCGGAAAATAACCAATCGAAATTATGGAATTTAAAATAATCGATTTCTAGTGAATTTCAGAATTATTGAAATGCTTCTATTATATTAGAAATTATCTAACATTCTGTTCTGAATTTAAAATTATTGAAGTTCTTATATAAATTTCGAAATTATTAGACTTTCTTCTGAATACTAAAGATTCTTTAAAAATTGTTATTAAAAACTTAAATTATATTCTTTAAATTCAGCAATTTAACCCCCTATCAACATTTAATGTTTAATTCTAAATTCTTATTATAGTTATAACATCAAGCAGTAAAAAAAATCTACCACCATTCATTCAGTCATTGCTTGAGCCACATTGTCTGATGCTCAGAGTTTAGTTTATTTTACGCTCTTGAACCGACAACAAGTATAAATTGTGGAAACGCGCTTAAAAGTTTGATTTTCGAAAACGGGTTTAAAATTCATTTCAACCACTCGATATACACAAACAATCAAGCTCGTGAACACACACACAAACTCACTACAAACGTAAGCAGTCAACAGATAAAAAGTAAAAACAATCTTAAAAAAGTTTGTCTGAAAAGAAGAAAAAGTCTTAAAGAATTATACTAATGAATTCAAATATAATGAAAAAAAAAGCAATCTATGTGTGAAATTTTTTGTGTTTGTATATCTTCAGCAGCACAAATAAAGAAAAAAATATATATAAAATAAAAAGTTAAATATACAAAATCAGTTATTAAATGTTATTTAAAATATAGAAAAAAAAAAACAGCTGCAAGTGTATACAAAAAGTTTAAATACCAAGCTTCACTTAAACTACAAAAATTCAAGAGAAAAGAAATACTATTGAATGTTTTTTCTTCTTATTGATATTGACCTAAAAATAATTGTTTTTGACCCAATGTTTATTTATTGTATTATGATGGCATTTGTTAATAATGTCTACAATTATATATTTGGTTGGTTGGTTAAACAATCAATTTTAAACAAAAGAAAATATTTTATTTTTACATAACTTTAGTTAAAGTAAATTTGAATTAAATTTTAGAAGAAAAAATATAAAACCACAACAAGATGCAACAAGTCCAATATACCAGTTGTACAACATCGTCATCATCAACATCATCAGCACTAGCTTTTATCTACTACTACTATTGGATACTTAAAGACATACAAGCCCACCACAAATACACACATAAACAATTTTTAAAACAGCTACAACTGTTTTTAAGACAAACCCAGCCAGATCTACATTATTTTAGTTTTTTTTTTTTTTTTTTGTCTAAGTGTACCTAACAGTAACCAGATTTTTTATTTTATTTCTTTCTTCAGAAATGTTTTGTGTAGTTAGGTTTTTTGTTTGTTTGTGGTTACTGTTTGGAGTTAATGGAGCTGGGCTTATATGTCAATGTAACTTGTTTCCATAAAAAAACACACATTTTCCGGGTTACATGCTAAAGGCCAAAATATTTTACTTAATATTTTTAGGAAGTTGATGTAACTTTAAGAATTTCCCACATAATGTTAAAAATGTGTTCTTTTTCTTTTATTATAAAATCCTTAAAGCAATAGTTAACTGTTTAAAATGTTTGCTACTTGTTATTAACACAATGATCTCATATGTTGTTTTATTAAACAAGTAAATATATAGTTAATAACATCAGACCTGCAAAAACAAACTAAGACCGCTATCAGACCTGTTGTTTGAAACTTTGTTTCCTGGACTTAGTGTCATAGAATAAGGGATCTAATATCTGAAATAACATCACTACCAAGATATTTTGATCTAATTTTTACGAAAGCTAATGACAAAGAATGAGTTTCAGCGTTTTAAAATACTCTCCATATGCTCTACATTCCTCTAAATCCATTCGCCCAATTTTTTATATTTGTGTCCATAATGTGTTCATAGAGAATACGAAAACCTCATACTAAACTCGGACTTGTTCATTCTAATGGGGCTTCTCGTTGGGGTCAACACATAGGATTTTAGTGGGATTCTCTCACACATGTGTTTAATTCGTTGCGTCGAATGGTTTTGCATTCGTCAGATTAACTTCCTCAAGCTCCCATTCCTTTATAGCAAGTTTATTTGTTCTTTCATTGCCGATCATCACCTAGCGGTCTGGTATATATGTATATAATACATAGTTTAGCTCTAAAAGAGTATTCGGTTATGGCTGTACTACAGTCTAATCGGTCTTAGATCTAACCTTATGAGCTGATATTGTTCTAATTGCCTTATGGTTGTCGGAAAATATGTAAACCTCTGTTGGCGCCATATTCAATACATTTTACTCATTCCCTGATAGCAACGGCTTCCGCCTGGAAGCTAATGTTGTGATTATAAAGACGTTAGTATTCTCAGGCCCTTTTTATCTTCCAGTTTAAAGTCATCCCTTCTCTAATGTTGCGCCGCTTTAATGCTCCTATCTGGGACCAATGTCTTACAGTTCTGGACAATTTCTGTTTCTGGTATGTGATCGGACACATTTGTTGTTTGTTTATGATAGTTTTATGTGTCCAGTATACATTGATTACATGTCCTGTAACCGGATTTAGTCAATTCATCTAAAGATAAGAGCCGCTCGATAGGAGAAATGTTATAAGCACATTCCACTTCAGATTACAGATTCGTCTAATTTCGCTTTTATGAAGCCAGTGTATTAAATTTGAACTATAACACGAGCCCATGGCTCTCCTACAGTGCGCCCAACATCGATATGATTTGTTGATTCTATCCTCTATGTGGCATTTCCATTTTAATTTCCGAACAAGGATTTCGTCTATATGATTTTTCAAGAACCGGGGTTCACTATGTCTATTTTTCTGATCTGATGTAATATACGTCCTCTTTTCAACCTAACTTAAATGATTAATAAGATTAAATTAGTTTAACAAAGAGTATAAAGTTTTAAGAAAACATAGAAATAGTGGCATCTAAAAATTTTTTAATGTAAAGTTCAATCAACATTTATATTGATATTATGAAAACAATATTTTAATTAGCTTTCTCCTGATGACTTTTACTTAAAAAAAAAGCACTTATTCTAAGAATTTTTTAATTTGCATTATTGAATTTGTTTTCCTTTTCATGTTTCTATTAAATTATGAATATATAAAATGAATAATGTCGTTTATACTGTTATCAATTTTCAGTGGAATTCAAAATTAATAAAAATTTTATTAAGAATATTATTAATTATATACAAATTATCTTATCAAAGTTTAATCAGAATTTACATCAGTTTTTCTTTATAACAAAAAATTGTTTTCCGGAATTTTGCTCATATCAACGTTGTTTTTGGACCGATTTGGCTGATTTTAAATTGGAAACTTTTCGAAAGCATGTCTAATAGAATTTACATTACAAGATTCGTATCCCGAAAAGAGACATACGGACAGACGGACTCACATCACTAAATCAATTAAGCTTATATACAGCTTTAAATTTTTTTCAAACATAACTTCTAATTTTCAAACACAACTTAAATAGTTTATATTATAAAACTACATTGAAAATATTTTAAAATTCATGAAAACTTTAAAATTATTTAAAAAACTAAGTTCAAAATGGAAAACGAAGAAATATTTACAACAAACGAATGTACATTTTTTTCGAACATAATTTTTATCTTTTTATTATGTTTTAAATACGTGATAAAATTACATTTCTGGTTTTCAATTAAAATCATTAAATTATCAAAAACGTTTTTATAAAATATGAAATCGAAATTTACATTAAAATAAAGTATTTATGAAAGAATTCATTTTCCTTAACATACTAAAAAAATCAAATATTTTATTTTAATTATTACTTTATTTTTACTATAGCCACTATTGCCGGTAGATGACGATTCATAAAAAATGCCTAAAAATAGAACTTTGATCTATTTGCTGTTGCTTTTAGCAAACAGTGTTTTGATTATTTGTAAGTTCACATCATAAAATTCTGCTTGTATAACTTTAATCATTATTCTTTTCTCCTACCAGGCGAAACAAATTATCCTCCCATCTTCCGTCAAGTCAATAATAATATTGTACTTTCGGAAAATACACCGGTCGGTTCGGTGGTCTATCAATTGGAAGGTTCTGATCCTGAGGGTAGTAATGTCACATTCGGTTCTATAGGTTCGGAACATTTTGAAGTTGATCCAATATCGGGTAATATTACGCTGATCAAACCTTTGGATCATGAAGAAAGGGATAGTTTAAAGTTTTTGATTACTATACGTGATCAAGTATCCGAAGATGGTGAATCAGAATTGGATAATATAGTTCAAGAGACTATAACGATTATAGTATCAGATGAGAATGACAATCCGCCGGAATTTCAAAATGTAAGTGTGTGATTACAAAACTGACTGCTAAGACTTGAGGGGGTTTTATTTAAAAATTGTTTTTTGTGTTTTATATTTGTTATATTTTAGACCCCCTATGGAGCTGATGTTAATGAGGATACTCCCATTGGCACGGTTATTTTCAATTCCATATTGGTTAAAGATCGTGATATTGTGGGAGAAAGTTTGGATTTGAAATGTATACCACAAGAACAATCGCCAGATGCCTGTGATAAGTAAACAATAATGAAATGCTATAATAAGTATAGTTTTCAAATGTGTTCTTTAACCATTTACTTTACAGATTCCGTTTGGATATATTGAAAAGAGAGCCCACATTTTTAACAGCCAATGTGGTTTTAAATCAGCCTTTAAATTACAATCAACGTACAATTTATCATTTCCTAATAGAGGCTACAGTAAGTTATTGAATATATCAAGGAACATTTATTATAAATTAAATTTTTATTTAGGATGGGGTCCATCAAACAAGAACAAATTTCGAGGTACGTGTTAAAGATGTTCAAGACAAGCCTCCTGTATTCTTGGAATACAAATCGAATGTTATAGACGAGGATAGTCCCATTAACACTTTAGTTTTAAAAATACAAGCCAGAGATGGTGATACTGGAGAGCCCAGGAAAATTGTTTATGATCTATTGACCAGTAAGTTAAGCTTAAGTTTGTTTAATTTAAAAAGCGTTCTTAATTGATTTTCTTCATATAGATCCCATGGACTATTTTCTATTGGATGAACATACGGGTGAATTAAGAACCGCCAAACCATTAGATCGTGAAGCTTTACCAGATGGTGCTGGTATTATGAAGCTGACCGTAAGAGTATGTATTCGAAAAAGAGTTTTAACTTAAAACAAAAACGTAAAACTGTTTTTTATATCACTAGGCCCGTGAAGTTGTTAATGGTGTGCCCAGCAATGATCCCATGGAAAGTAGCACTGCTACTGTTACCATCACTATACGTGATGTTAACGATTCCCCACCAACTTTCAATAGAAAAGAATATAATGTTTCTCTGCCCGAAAATACCGCCACTGGAACACCTTTAGCTTTAGATATGAATGTAACCGATCGTGATGTGGGTATTAATTCAAAATTTTCTTTGCGCCTGGAGGATGTTTCTGAGGTTTTCGAGGTAGAACCACAATTGGTGACCGGTTTCTCACAGGTACACATACGTGTAGCCAATGGCAGTTTGGATTATGAAAATCCCAATCAACGTAAATTTATTGTATTGGTTATAGCCGAGGAAACCGATACAAATCCCAAGTTATCATCTACGGCTACCATAACAGTGTCAGTATTGGATGTTAATGACAATAAGCCCATGTTTGAGCAAGAATCCTATTCAGCCTCTGTTTCGGAGTCAGCTTTGCCGGGACAATATATTACTACTATAACGGCCAAAGATATGGATTCGGGTAATTTTGGTGATGCGGGTTTACGCTACAGTTTATCAGGTAATGGTGCCGAACTATTTCATGTAGATGAAAAAACTGGTGTAGTTACTCTGGCCGATTGTAGTAAGATTAAAGAAACTACAAGTGATAATACAAGACGTAAACGTCAATATGAAGATATGACTAGTTATTTGATGAGTGCTCAAGGCGATGATGAGCATAATGATGCTGATTATGAATATAGACTGTTAAAGAGTACTGATGCCATAGATGTTAATAATGAATTGATGCCAGAACCATCGGCATCACCTAAAACTTGTTTGGATTATGAAACAGAAACTACCTATTTCTTGTCCTATAAGGCAACTGATGATGAGGGCAAAGGTACTAATTCAGTGGTATCTTTACGTATTTCGGTAACAGATGCCAATGATTCACCTCCTGTATGTGAGAGTCCTTATTATAGAGCCTCGGTAGATGAGGGTTCAAGAGTGTTTGAAGCTCCTTTAATAGTGAAAGCTCGAGATGCTGACACTGTTTCTGATATAACCTATAGGTTTGTAATCGTATTGTTTTTTAATTAAAAAGAATAAATTAAAACTTTTATTTCTTAGCATTGTTGGTGACAAACTTATCCAGGACACATTTGCCATAGACAATCAAACTGGCCAAATAACCATAAGACCCAATGCTACCCTCGATGTTACCCATTTGAAAAACGATAATCTAGTATTTTCCGTGCAGGCCCATGATGGTCTCTTTTCTACCAATTGCCATATTAATATTACAGTACGAGATGTTAATAATCATGAGCCCAAATTCTTAGCTGACACTTATTCTGCGGTAGTGGAGGAAAATTCCGAAATTGGCAGAAGTGTGGAAAAGCTAGAAGCTGAGGATTTAGATTCGGGCATAAATGCGGAGATAAGGTGAGCAATTATTCAAGGAGTATAAGTTAAGTTTTACACAATTTCGGTTTATATTTTAGATACCGCATACAGCAGGGTAGTTTTGATGATTTTCGCATTGATGAGACTACAGGCGAGGTGTTTGTTTCCCGTAAATTGGATTATGACAACCGTAATACTTATCAGATTGAAGTTATTGCCATGGATTTGGGTACGCCAAGCTTATCAGGCACAGCTACTTTGACTGTTAGTATTGTGAACAGCAATGACAAGGATCCATACTTTACACCAGCGACACAACATGCGGAGGTACAATTTTTTTCTAATTAAAGAGAATTTTTATACAAAAACTTTTAAAGAAAATATTTGAGTAAAACTTTTAAGTGACAATTTAGTACAATTTTTTTTAGTGAAAAACATTTGGGTGAAAATTTTTAATGGAAAATATTTGGGTGAAATTTTTTTAAGGGAAAAATTTTGGCTGAATTTTATGGCGAGTAAAAATTCAAAAGTTTTTAAACCAAAATTTTAACTATTACAGGTACGTGAAGACACTCCCGTTGGCACAGTTTTCTATACTCTAATGGCCATCGATCCCGATGTCTCCGCCAGAGATGCTTTAGATTTTGCTGCCGTTGGTATTTCAGCCATTGACAAGGATGGCAAAGAGGTGGAAAATAGTGAACAATTTAAGGAATATTTTACCATAACACGCAGCGGTAAAGTAGTGGTCAATAAAAAACTCAATCGTAATCTATTTGCGGTAAGTATTTCTCAACAAATATGTAATAATTAATGCTATAATATTGTTTACCATAACAGGTCATACGCATTAATGTTTTGGTAACCGATAGTACAGCACCCACAGTACAGCAAGGCAGTGGTTTATTAATTATCCAAATCATAGATGTCAATGAGGTGGCACCGGTAAGTTGGCAAACTATTGTAAAGTTTCAGATTTAAGGAAATTTTCTTGGGATATAATACATCTTGATAATTCCAGCTGTAAGGGAATACATTTCAGTTGTTGATAATAATCGGAATAGATATTTCTATAAGAAAAAGGAAATATTTGTAGTTGTTTTAAAAATAAGATAAAAATCTAAAAAAAACCTACAAGGCTGTTATGGCAAATGCTATCTTAAACAAATTATTTAGCACTAGTATAACAAACACACTCATATTGTGGACAGCCACGATTTTAGTGGTACAAAATCCCAAAATTATTTCAATAAAATTTAAACCTATATGATCTATAGTTTGGGCTATTAAGGCGGGTAATAGAAGATGTGGCAATTCAGCTGTTAAAATAGGAAATCTTTAAATTCTTATTATATTTGCAATTCCTTTTTATTTCACAACTTACATGGCTATTATATTGGCTGCTAGAGTAATGTAACCCATAATAAATTTTAGTTCCAAATATAAGCATATAAATATCACCAAAACTCTATGACATAAATCACAATTATTTTGTAGTATAAAGTCTACTTCTTGCAGTTCTGCTTGCAATTGATAGGGATTTAATAGGGCAGCTTTTAGGAGTATTAGGAAAATGTTGATACATAAAATTTTGAATTTTCCAAATTCCAATTTCATTTAAGTTTCTGTTTTATATTTCCATGTTTATTATTAGAAATTTTGTAAGAGACTGAATATTTTTTGTTTTTCGATTTATTGTTTTATGAAAAAGTTTAGTGAAGGGAGTTTTGCAAACTGAAATTCTTTAATTTTAGTAATTTTAGAATAATCTAGAGCTCAAACTATAGATTACAGTCCAGACTATAAACTAAACTCTAGTGAAGACAATACACTATAGTCCAAACAATAGACTAGACTGTAGTCCAGCCAATAGAATAGTCTATAGTCTAGAATATAGTCAATAAAGTAGACTAGTGAAAACAATACGCTATAGACTAGACTATAGTCTAAACAATAGACTAAACTATAGTCCAAACAATAGACTAGACTATAGTTCAAACAATAGACTAGACTGTAGTCCAGACAATAGATTAGACTATGGTCTAGAATATAGTCAATAATGTAGACTACATACTATATAGTCCAGAGTATAAGACTAGGCCATATTCCAGAGCTTAGGCTAGACCATATTCCATACTATAGACTAGACTATAGTCCAAACTATAGACTATAATGTTTTACATGTTATTTATTACAGAAATTCAGTTTGCCCTGGACCATCGACAATCCCGTGATTAAGCTGCAAATGGTAGAAGAACAACCCGTGGGCACAGTACTCACCACCTTACAGGCCTACGATGAAGACTCCACCATAGGCGAATATGATATCTCAGCCAACGATTACTTTGATATTAACAAAACCACAGGAGTGGTTACCCTAACCAAACGCCTCGACTATGAAACAATTAAAGAAGTTAAGTTTGTGGCCACAGTTAGTGATACCGGTGTTCCGTCGTTAACCTCCACAGCAGATGTTTTAGTCGATGTTATTAATCTCAACGATAATGAACCACAATTTACACAAAGTGAATATTATTTTAATATCACCGAAAATTCTCCCGTTGGCACTGTGGCGGGGAAAGTCGAGGCTTTTGATAAAGATTTGGGTGCCTTTGGGGAGATTACCTATTCTTTGATTGGGGAAAATAATAAATATTTTACCATTGATTCCTATACGGGTAATATAATGGTGGCCGATTCTTCTATATTGGATAGGGAAAAGGTAAAACAAATTACCCTAACGGCAGTGGCTAAAGATAAGGCTCCTCTAACGGTACAGAAATCTACCACAGCAGCGGTGAGTTGTAGAAACTAAGAGAAATTTTAGTTTGAGAATAAAATTTTGGTTTATTTATAGATCTATCTCAATGTTTTGGATGTTAATGACAATGCTCCCGAGTTTACACAAAATGAATATACCTCCGTAGTGGCGGAAAATGCTGCTTTAAATCCTCCTGCTGCTTTGTTGCAGGTCAAGGCTTTCGATTTAGATGAGGGCATATTTGGTGATGTACGTTATGTTATAACGGCGGGCAATGATCAACAGCTTTTTAAATTAGATTCACAAACGGGTATTATTTATCCAGCACGCAGTCTTAATGGCCAGAAAGGAGTTTATGAATTGATTATATCAGCCCGAGATACTCAGGGCTCTGGTACCATGGAAGCCTTTACTAAAGCTATTATTACAGTTAAAGGTGTTAATCAACACAGGCCACAGTTTCTTATACCAGCTTTATCGAATGCCACCATTGAAATACCTGGAGTAATTATTCTCAAATTATAAGAAAATGTTGTCTTTATTAATTTTTTTCTTTCTATCCAGGATTCTGTAAAGAAAGATTATTTAGTTTTAACTGTTAAGGCGGCCGATAACGATACCGATGAGAATGGTCAAATCTTTTATCATTTACAAGTCAATGATCAAAATCTGCAGGAAACAGAAGAGTTTAAAATTGATCTCGAAACGGGAGAATTAAGAACAAATAAAGAACTGCATCGCAAAGAGAAATCAAAGTGAGTATGAGATAGCTTAAACGTAAACGTAACTATTACAGTTTTAATAAATATTATTCTCATTTCCCTTTTTCCTGCAGCTTTGATTTAATACTAGTAGCTCGTGATGCCGGTAATCCCACACCTTTCGAAACTTTACGCTTCCTCACAGTCAGCATTATAGATGCCAATGAAAATCGCCCAGAATTCCCCGATGCCAACAATCCTTATCGTATACAAATTGTCGAAAATAATGAACGTAATGTTAAAATCGGTAAAATACAGGCCACTGCACGCAACAAACACAATAAGGATGTTTTCTACTACATGCTGCTGGGTAATGAAGATGGTGCGTTTGTGGTGGACAAAACTACAGGAGATATTTTTACCAATAAATCGCTGGATAGAGAAACAACGGATTCGTATACTTTATACATACTGGCCAGTATTAAACGTGATCTTCATATATCGGATGAAGAACGGGCTTCCTTTTCGATTAAGACTTTAGATCGTGATAATACAGTGGCCAAAGTTATCATAACGGTGTTGGATGAAAATGATAATGCACCTGTTTTTATGAATGACATATACTATGCTGGAGTTAATTCGAAGGCGGTAATAGGTACAGAAATTATTTTGGTCAATGCTACAGATGCTGATATAGGCAAGAATTCACAAATTGAATACATGATTACCTCATCGAATTTGTATAAGTTTGGAGCGAATAAGACTACGGGTTCCATAGTGCCAAGTCCATTTGGTAAGTAGAAAAAAGGAGATTTTAATTGTAATTACATGTTTTTTTTTAGTTCGATATTAATTTCGAAGATTCGAACTTATGTTCGAAAAAACCTTTAAAGCTAATTTCTTCAATTTCGAACTTAAAAATGTTGAAATTTTTAAAAATGTTAAAGTAATTTCAATGTAGTTTCAGAATATAAGGTTTTTAAGAAATTTTTTAAAAATTCGAAATTAATTTCGAAAATTCGAACTTATGTTCCAAAAATTTTTAAATCCGTTAAAATTATCTCTAAATCTTGGGGATTTACAAAAATATAATTTTATTCTTATTTGAGGCCAATATGTATGTTTTCAATTTCAAACTTAAAAATTTTGAAAATAATTTTGAAATTTTCATAAAGTTTAAAGTAATTTCAATAGTTTCAGAATATAAGGTTTTAAAGAAAATTTTGCAAATTCTCTAAATCTTGGGGATTCTATGTTCGAAGTAAAAATATTTTTAAATAATTTAATTTTTTTTAATATTCTCTTGCCAGCCATTTCCAGTGAGGGAAGAATTTCAACTGGCGCCTTTATGGCCGAATACAATCAAGATCGTTTTGAATTAGAGGTGATAGCCAAGGAGGTGGAGGCACCTCAACGTATAGCTAGAGCCAAAGTTATAGTGAGTTTTATTTTGTAATTTTCCAAAACAAAAACCTAAATTCCATGTCTTTACTTCATTTAAAGGTTTGGATCTACGACTATAGCCAACTAGTGCGTGTCATACTCTCACGACCCCGCGAAGAAGTTACCCAGCAACAAGATGAAATCATAGCTGAACTGCGTAATGCCACCCAACATCGTATTATTGTGGATGAGCTGCGCTATCACGTTGACTCGATGGGACGCATACGTATGGATTGGTCTGATCTATTTTTCCATGCTGTCGAACCTAATACTAAACAAATTTCACCCGTTGATGAGATACTCAAAGTTATAGATGCTAATTATGATTATTTAAGGGTAATTTTTGTTTATTCAGAAATGTTTTAATTGCTTTGTAACTAATTTTCTCTTTAGGATTATTATGCTGGTTTTGCTATTGAAAATGTTGTCCCTGCTTATATAACAATTGTCCAAGAAGAATTTGACTTAGCTGTAGCTGGTCTAGTGGCTTTAGTTATTGTTCTATTTGTGGGTGTAGTTAGTTTTATTGTGCTCTGTTGTTGTCTAAAACATTGGTGGGTTGTTTGTTTTGTACCTATGCGGTGTGCCTATGCAGGAAAATGGAAAGTGAATGAAAGTATATTTTTTCACTTTCATAATTTTCCTAAAAAGGCCTCCTTTTTTTCGTTTTAGTTTAAGTTTATTTTTATATTTATTTCTTTATTTATTTAAACTTTAGGAATCTCTCTGTGCCTACCGAAAATAGACGTAAAGAAGCCTTAATTAAGAAACAAATCATCGAAGATTTAAATACAACGGAAAATCCTTTATGGATTGAACAGTAAGTACAAGATTTTCCTTCAATTTTTGCACTTTAATTGTTTTCGTGTTGATTCCTTTAGAAAATTAAAACTATATGAAGAACAGGAACTAACCATGCAAGTATTTTCCGAACCGGATCACATTTCCACCTCAGATGTACCAGTAAGTTTTGCAAAATCTCACTTAAACTTCAATTACAATCAAAAGCAATTTCTCAAAATTCTAGGGACATATGGATCATTGTGGTTCCATCGAGCATGTGCATCAAACTATAGACAACACTTATGCCACTATACAACCCAGACATGGTAATCATGGCGGTAATGGCGTGGGTGTAAATGTAGCGACTAACAATGCTCATAACAGTCATCATGGTCGTGGCATGGAACCGCCGCCACCACAACATATAAGTGATTTTGCCGATTATGCCACGCTGCGTAATAATCGGGTACCTTCAGTAAGTTTTATAATTTACTCTACTTTTAACATAATTTCTAATTTACTATTTATTCCAGATGTTTGAATTTACCGGTTCAACATTCCAGGCACCAATTAGGGATGGTGATGATGTTGTCACCGAATTAATTTAAGTATTTTACACAAAATTGTGAACAGAAAAAACTCGAATCATATTTAAAGCATAAAAAGTAAAAAGGCCTCTAATAAGTTATTTATTACATTAGGCAAGTAATCAAAACAAAATAAATTTATAATTTTTGATAGATTTATACTATTTATGGAGCAGCTATTTTTTGATAAACAAAAGGAAAAGAACAAGTATTTTAATTTGCTAGTATTTTTACTAAACTTATATTATAGAAAACAAAATTAATCATATATTCCCAGGACAATAAAATAAAAAAAGGCAGCAAGTTAAGTAAAGAAAACTAAAACTAAGTACGAAATTTGCTCATAAAAGCATTTATAGGAAACGTAAACTATTTTCGCTGAAATAAAAACAAGAATATTTAATGCTTTTTCTACACTTACACTACTCTATCTGACTTTATATACAACAACAATTTTGCATATTTACAACTTAGTATAGTAAAACTATTTTTATAAACATCTATACGAAGTAATATATACAAAATATAATTTAATTTAACTAGAATTATTAAACAGCTTAAATAAAATGAAACAAAAATTTATGAAAATGTTGATATTTTTGGCCAACTGACTGAGTAAAAAAACTTTCTCTAAATTATAGCTCAATTTGCTTTAAAACTAATTGCTTGCACTCTTTTCTTTTATTATCATTATAAAATTTACTTTATTTTAGTTTTTAGTTTATAATTTTTGTAATAATAAACTCTCTTGTTTCTAGCATTTTAATTGTGTAGTTTTAAGTTTTTGTAGCCTTTCTTGCTTTAAAATTTATTTTTTGTAATTTTTTTATATAAACATTTAAAACATATTACTTTATAAATATTAATAAATTAGTCCATTAGTTTTTAAGTCGAAAATATATACATACATATATTCTTTAATTCTTTATGCATAAGTACAAATTATTAAGCTTCCATTTATATTAAACAAAACTGAAATAATTGCGAACAAAAAGTTATATGTAACTACTACTACTACACACACAAAGAAATGCAATAAAAATTATAAAATAATACCTTTTTTAATAAATTTAAATCAAAAACTGATATGGAGGTCTAAAAATAAGGGGAAAAAGATTTAAAAAAAATTAATTCATATTCTGAGAAAGAAATCCCAACTAAATTATGTCCATTCATCCTATTATCATTCTGATAATTTTAGCAACTTTGTTGCACTTTTTCTTAATTTAAACCAAAAAAGAATATGGGAATTATAAAGTATTTTACTACTTACTGCATGATTTTTGTTGAGTTGGCGGCGTTGCCGGATTTAATGTGTTGCCATAATCAATTAAAAAGGTAAACAAACATATATTCGAAGCACCCTGTTAACAAAATATTATAACAACCCTGACTTAATTTGACATGCCGCTTTTCTGTTTACATTTTTTGCTGCTGCCAGAGAAATCGTGTTAAAATAATTTTTAGTTTTGTTTAATTTTTTATAAAAAATCTGTAAAAATGAAGCTAAAAAATGTTAATAAAAGCAAGACAGAACGACAAGGCGTGGATGCCAAAACACAAAAAGCAGCACAAATGACCGTATCACAATTGAGTGCAGATGTTATCTGGGAGGTATGACGATTCAATGAGAAACCAAAATAAACGTTTACTTATTTCCAACTAATATGTATTTTCACAGATTGCTTCAAAATATTGGTCTCCGGAAACAGAAGGCTCTCATGAAGCTTACGATGCCCAACTTGTGGATGATATCTATTTAAAAGAAATAGTGGAACATAAAAATCCCACCCGGCGTATTGTTATGCTGGAGTTTAGTCAATATTTTGAGAAATATCTATGGCCCAATTATAAACGTTCCACTGCCTCACATGCCCACTTGATGTCTATAGTTTTTATGGTAAATGAAAAGTTTCGAGAACGCGTAGAAGTATGGTCAACATTTGAGCAGCGTGCCGAAGAATTTGCAGGATTTTTTCGTCATGTTTTGGAATTGTGTTTGAATGAGGACAGTAAGACACAATTAAGAGAGAAAACTGCTTTGGTGGTATTTCTTAATCATTGTTTTAATAGCATGGAAATCGAATTGTGCCGCAATCAAATTAGACGTTTGGTATCCTTATCCATGTGGTCATGTTTGCAGCCAAGTAAGAAAAATCTTGCAAAATATTGTTTATTATTTATATTCAAATTTTTTTTGTTATATTTTTTAGAACGTTTGGAGCAGGAGCTACGCTCTATACCCGAATGGCGCAGAGTTTGGAAAAAGTTACAGAAAAAGGAAAAGAACGAAAAGAATCCGGATGTAGAATGGGAAAGACATTTTCTGCAAAATCTTATCATACAATTTTTAGATGTTTTGGAGCATTTACCTTTGGAGGGTCCTGTAGATTCGCATACGATCTTGTATTGTGAACGCTTCTTGGAATTAATGATTGATTTGGAGGCTTTACTGCCTACAAGACGTTTTTTCAATACTGTCTTGGATGATTCTCATTTATTGGTTCGTGCTCAAATAAGCAATTTGGTTCAGAGACCAGAGGGGAAATTATTTGGTCAGGTGAGTGAGTTCATTTTTCAAATCTTTTAAATGTTTGTGATTGTCAGAGAAATTCTGCAGTTTTTATGAAATTTGTGATACTTTCCTGTGTTTAATAAATATAATTTCGTGTTTAAGAACGAATTTAAATTAAAATATACATCTAAAAGCTTTTTAAACTAAAATTATATCTTTATATATCCTCAAGATTTAGAGATTTGTTTCACCATTTTTAGGATTTTTTCGAAAATAAGTTGGAATTTTTAAAATTTATTATGAATCCATTTTGGAATTCTTCAACATTTTTACGAAATTTTAAAACTTAATTATTTTTGAAAAAATCCATAATGATTCAATTCAATTTTATGAAATTCCAAAACTTAATTATTTTTATAAAATCCATAATGATTCAATTTCAACCAGTCCTCAGTAAGCTTCGCCGTTGATCCAGAGTGATTCTACAAATTTATTTCAACTTCGAAATTTTATTGTTCTTTTGTTAAAACCTTAACATCAATTAAGTACACTTTATTTTATTATCATCTTGACTTCAATTAAAATTACATTTTCATACATTCAATGTATAAATTATTCGATAAATTTGTTTTAATACAATAAATGCCTAATATTTAGGTGAGTCAGTTAAAATATCCCTTTAAATATAAAATATTTGCTAAATATAAAAAATAAGAAAATTTATAAAAATCATAAAGAAAACCTAAATAGAGAGCAGCGCGAGCATTGGAATTATTTTACGAGTTGTACTTCTTTTGTAAAACTTAATACTAACGTTTAGTTGCCATTATATTTTCAATATAAATTCAAAGTGTAAAATAAAATAAAAAAAATCAGTTCATACTTTTGTCCTAAAAACTAATAATCATTGCAGTTCATATAATGCATTTCATCGCCCCAATCATTTGTTGAAGGCGGCTCATTATAACAGCAAGATTTTTTGAGCAGAAACGTAACATGTTTCTGTCGCAAAACACAAATGTACAGCAGTAGGGGAGATTGTATGGCATTAACAATAATGTGGGCATATAAAAGACCTTCGAATTTTAACCAAGATAAACATAAAAACAGCCAGCTGATAGACATAATCAAAAGCATTAACGAAAACATAATGAAACTGTAAAGAAATGGATTACATTAAATCAATATGATTTATTTATATTAATTTAATATTTAATTACTCACTTGGCCTTTAATTTATGCTGTATGCGTCCGTAAACATTACGCCGGTTTATTAACTTCAATGTGGTTACATAGAAAAATATATCCACCAATATAGTACAGGCTATGGGAGCAAAGAATATAGCTATACCCAACCAACCCATGGTTTCTTGTTCGGCCACCACATTTTGTTTTTTATAGGTGTCAGCATCTAAAAAGAAATGTGCAAATACTGCCATGCCCGCCATAAACGCCGTAGAACCCCAAGCATATACTGAATAATAACAATATTTCCTAGCATCTGTTACTCTGAGAAAAACATTACGCGAACGAAATGTTTTCCAGATGTAATAGCCAAAACTATTAAGCCAGAAGAAGGCTGCCAATATGCTGAAGTATAGAATAATATCGGCCACTATAAATGAAACATGATTGGTAAATTCCGTAAAAATGCGCACTAGATCGGCCACCTGGGCTACCATCAGGCAAACGGCAATTGTGGTGATTATATTGCCCACTAGATCTCTGTAAAAGGAAAAGTAAAGTAAGCAAAAAAAAATGTATACTAGATAGATAGATAGATAGATAGATAGATAGATAGATAGATAGATAGATAGATAGATAGATAGATAGATAGATAGATAGATAGAAAGATAGATAGATAGATAGATAGATAGATAGATGGATAGATAGATAGATAGATAGATAGATAGATAGATAGATAGATAGATAGATAGATAGATAGATAGATAGATAGATAGGTAGATATATAGATAGATAGATGTGAATTCCGATATTTTCTTAAGAAAATTTCCAAATCGGTCAAATCATTAATATTTTGATATATTTTTCCAACGAAAAATTATCGATAATTCTAAGATTTTTTTCTGGAGATTTTAAAATTATCAAACATTTGAAAAATATTTATAAAAATTATGGAAAATGAACGATAACTTGAAAATTTTTCAAAGAAAGTTAAACATTTTTTATAATTTAACATTTTTCTAAAGAAAAGGTATAAATTTTCGATAATTTGAATATTTTTCTAAAGAAAATTAAAAATTGTCGATTACACGTTTTGAAAATAATTGATAACTATAAAAATTTCAAAATAAGAGACCAAATTTTTAATAAATCGAAAAGTTGGCAAATTTATGAAAATATCTGTATGAAATAAGGAAAATTTTAGAAATAATTGATAATTTAAAGAAAATTCTCAAATTATTAATAGTCAACATATCTTATCATATAAAATTTCCATAACTCACCTCAAAGTCGGCAATATAAAATAAACTATCGCTATAATCAGCAATACTACCAGCGCTATAACATGAAAAATGGGATTTAAGATTTTACGCATCAAAAAACTTGAGTCGGTCCATTTGATTTCTTTTTTAGCTAAACAAATATTAGCAAATAACACTTGTCGTTGATCACCGTTCGTAGAAATGGCCTAGAATTTAAATAGAAATACAAATATTTTAAACATTTATCACTTAATTAAGCTAAACTTGATACAACTAATCTATCTAATTAGTCATCATTTATAACATATGTACGTAGGTACTTACTCTATCTATACAATATTGATCACGTCCATAATCATAAAAATAAGGTTTAGATTCTTCAGCCAACTCTTCGTCGCCATAGTCATTCATAGAAGGATCCGAGGCTTCGTCGGCGGTATTGGTATAGTGGCGCAATTTACCATCATCTAATAAAACCAGTTTATCGGCACTCTAGTGTTAAAAGAAAAGCAAAAAAAAAAACAATTATTTTAGTAACCAAACATACATACAATATTAAATAACTATTTACCCCTTGATAATGATAAATGGGCCAAGTTTGCATTGAGCCACAAGCGGGTAAACCAATAACAAATTTGAATTTTACCGGCATATTATGTTCCCCATTGTAGCTGGTAAACATGGGTTGAAAGTATTCTGCAACAAAAGAGACAACAGAAAAAAATATTAAACATTTTATGTTTGTTTCGCAAAGTCGTGTGTAATCTAAAACTTGGCGCTATATTTGTTCGTTCAATGTTTGCATGTTTCATTTATTTATGTTTTACTTCAATTATTTTCGGTTTGCCACATTTATTTTTAATTTTTTTGTTTTATTACATATTTCTTTTTCCCCTCCCCTTCTTCACTTATTTTGACGCGTCGTCTTGTTGAAATGTACATATGTTTGTATGTATGTTTATAGGTACACACCACTTACCACTTTCATTCACCTGGCTGCATACCGAATCTATACGTATTTCGAATTTTTCACAACATTTATTCACCCAAACTACATCCTCATCAATATGATTTTCCTCTTGTAAATTTGCTCCAATTGTGGCAGTCTGCTGATGTAGTAATATGCAAAATGTATAGATTAACCATTTTATGGATATTTTGGCCATGCTGTTTTTAACTTGGTTATTAACTAGAAATAACTGCTGCTGTTCCACTGACTAACTGGCTAAATAACATCTGTAATGTTTTAAAACAAACCACACAAAATATCTATTAAATACGTCATCGTCATGCAATACAAAACTCAAGATCAGAGTTTCTCACTCTCTCGCTCTTCTGATCATTTAATTTCCTTAAAACTCACTCATTTAATTGCTCTCTTTATCGGTTCTTATTTCTCTTTTGAGTTTGTGTGATAGTATTGCTCAACTTTGAACACTCAATCATTTGCCGACACAATCTTAAATATTTTTGTTTTACTTTTTTCAAAACCAATACTTAAACATTGACGCTGCATTAATCTTTTGTTTAAATTTATTGTAGGCTGTATTACAGAAATTTACAATAATTTTTTTGTTGCTCTTGTTAAATTTAAGTTATTTACAATTTCCTTTATTATATTGTATTCTTTTGTTTATTTATAATTAGTTAACAATAACATTATACTTTTGTATACAATCAATGTTATTATGTTGATTTTTTTTTTTAATTCTGTACTAAATATTTTCGTATCCTCTAGTTGTTCACATTTTATTTCCATCCAATTCGAAAGTCAGCTACTCACTGTTATTTTGACTTTAACATTTTTAACTTCTTGCTTTGAGTTTCCATTTGGAGACATAATGTTGTTTGTTATTCTCTTAAAATACTCTATACATTTAGGTGTTGGCAATTTAGCGGTTTTTAGCTTAATATATATGACATACTTCTTCTGTATTTCGTTTTGTCACCCTTACTCTGAAAAAATTCCAGATAAAATTTATTGCTTAATAAAGGTGATCTTTTAAGTACTGACAGGATTATTTAAAGGACACTGTGGTCAGATACCACACGAATTTATTTCGAGATTAGATCACTGAGCATAGTTTGTTATTGTTATTGATTACCATCCTGTTGATCAATGTATCTCGGTTGTACCCAAGGGACTTCTTACTCTCTTACCAGATTGAACTATATAAAATTTTAATAATTGATCTAAACTTTAAAAGGGATTTATAACGGATCTTATTGGATAATTTTTAGGGGTTTTCATTAAGAACAAATGTCATAAGCGCTGAAGTTCTTAATGTAACCCCAAAGTAAAAAGTCTAAAGAGGTTAAGTGTTATGTTCGTTCATCTCATGTCAAAAACAATGTCCTACTTATTGGACAACCATTCCATACCCTTACATCTAGGGGAGATAATTTGGCGAGGGTTGTCAGCACATTGAAACTATCTTTTCGAAGCTTTCAAGTACTTTGCAGAAAAAAAATCACCAAAAACCCTATTTTTCACTAAAACCCGATTTTTGCACTAAAATTTTGTTTTTTTTTTTAGTATAAAGTCGATTTTTTTGCTAATTCATCAGATCCGAGGCCGCTATCGTCGCTGTTATACGCTCCTTTTCATGGAAAAAGTTAGTGGAAAAACACTATATAGCGATCTATGAAAGTAACTATCGTCCAATGTTAAAAAAACTCAGTTTCTTGAACATAATCCCTAAGAATTTTCCAATCGGTATTCTGAAATAACATAGCTCCCCAGATAATTGGATCTAATTTCGACAAAAACTTGGTAATAAAAAAGAAAGTACTCCAGAGCTTCACTGTCTTCTTCGCTTGCTCTACATTCGTCTGAATCCGTTCGTCCAATTTTGTATAGTTGTGCCCATAATCTCTGAGGCCTCTTGACCCACCTTTTCATTATTCCAAAAGTCCATATCGGATTCCCTCATTGATATTTAATGGGGGACCAGTGCCTTAAAGGTTCCAACAAATTATAATTCTGGTTTGCGATCTTGCACGTCTGATGTTTGTCCAGTATAGATTGATCACGTGTCCCATAGCATTTGGTCAATTCGCTTAAAGATGAGAAAAATAGCTAATCTCTAGTATTCAGTAGTAGTGATTGTCCAAATATAGATCATGCAATGAAAAAATAAAGCTAGCTTGAACTGATAGATCATTTATTTTGGTAGTACATTAATTTGACAGCCAGTGTGATAATTTGTTCCTTCTCAAAATAATTGGGGCTAAGAAATAGATCTCAAAGCATTTACAATTTATGGTGACTTTTGGGAAATTCTTAGTGAACTCAAAACTTATTTGAAATATTGTGTACTTTACAAATATAATTTTAGCGTTATTTTATACTCGACACTATAGACCACACTTTTTTCTCATTCCTGTTATTGTATGTCTGCATTTTTGTGTAATGTTAGCCCGTTCTCTCTACCTCTCTCTCTTATCAAGTTAATTTAGCTCTATTTTTTCAGTATCTTGTACTCAATTTTAAAATATAGTTAATTATTGTCAAGTCTGGCTTTGTAATGTGTGCGTGCGTACACTATACTCTTGTGTACCATCGTATCAAAATTCCGTAATTAAATAGTACGGAAATAAATAATTTATAGTAATAGACTTGCACATTTCTATACAACAAACAATCTGTGTAATGTACAGAGTGTTTTTTTATTAAAAACAATGACCCCAGAGACCTAGTAGAGACCGGCATGTGTTTCAAAGATTTTGCAACAATAACTCAAAAAATAAATGTATTTAGTATGTAATATAGAGAGAACATTTCTTAATTGTTATGGGAAAATATTAAATGCCGGCATATTTCGTATTCCAATAATCTAAATTTACCTTTGCCCATGTGTATTTTACACCTTTTTTGGTTTTGTTTTCATTAATCCATAGAATTTGCTGTTCAAGAAGTAGTTACTACTACTTTTTGTTGTCATGGAGTTTTTCGTATTTTTTAATATTTTCATTCCAATATTATGTGTTTGTTTTTACTTTGGAACTTTTCTTCTATCCATAAAAGTAGATGTACGATATTTACAGGATTCCATTTGTATGTCTGTTTGTTTGTGGTTTGCGTGTTTAATATTCCTTTTATGTCAAATACCATATAGGTATGTAAGGAGATTTGTAAATGTATGTTCTTGAAACGAACAGTGTGATATAAAAGTAAATACCTATATAAATTTTCGTAAAAGCTTTAATTTTGTAAAGTAAGAACTTAGGGTTTTAATCGTGGAAATAAACACAATTAAAGAATAAATTTTTAATCGACATAACCCCATGCTAAGCTAGATAGATGCATTATCAGAACCTGTGGTTATAGTTTACCGGTAGATATTCCGGTCGATATGTATGCTCAAGTCGTGACATTTGAACAATATAGTATTCAATGACTTCTCAAAATGCGTCGCTCTTAATGACAACCCCTTTAGTTGAAAATCGGAACAGCTTGTCTTTATTGTTTTCTAAAGTGTTAAATCCCTAACAAAAATGTAAACAACCTAAAATTAAAACTTCCTTTTGTATAATATTCTTCCTTCCTAGCTATTGGATATGTTAAAATTCTATTCACGTTTCGAAATCAATGATGTGACCGGAGACTCCTTAACCGATCATGATATGACACAAATCCATTATAAGAAAATCACCTCCCTACAAAGAGCCGCCTTTTCTAAATTTCCCGATTTAAGATTATTCGCTCTATCCAATGTGGCCAGCATAGATTCACGTGATTCTTTGGAAAAACATTTTGGTAGCTTAAATGAAAAGGCGCTCAAAGAAATAGCATCATTCTTAAATCTAGTCCCTGATGAATTGCAACCACCTTTTCAATGGCATCGTTTGGATGAGGACTTCCTAAAAGAATTGCTAATAACAAGACATGAAAAACGTTGTTCTCAATTGGATGCTCTCAATGAAATGCCTCTATATCCTACCGAAGATATAATCTGGGATGAGAATATAGTACCATCAGAATATTTTACAGGAGATGGTTGTTTGGCTTTGCCAAAATTGAATTTACAATTTTTAACTTTACACGATTATTTGTTGAGGAATTTCAATCTGTTTCGCTTGGAATCCACATATGAAATTCGTCAAGATATTGAGGACGCGGTGAGTCGTATGTTACCTTGGCAATCGGAAGATGGTGATGTAGTGTTTGGTGGTTGGGCTCGTATGGCTTTGCCTATAGCCTCTTTTGCTGTTGTGGAGGTGGCTAAACCTCACATTGGAGAAAAGAAACCTTCTAGAGTGCGTGCAGATATTGGTGTAACCTTATCGGTACGCAAGGAGATTAAGGATGAATGGGAAAATCTACGCAAACATGATGTTTGTTTTTTGATAACAGTTAAGCCTACAAAACCTTACGGTAAGCGGACTTTAGCAATATGTTTGAGTATATTATTTTAAAATCTTAACTTTAGGTACAAAATACAATCCACGTGAGCCATTTATTCCACAAGTGGGTTTAGTTTATGTACGTGGCTGTGAAGTAGAAGGTATGTTGGATGCTAATGGTCGAGTTATAGAAGATGGTCCCGATCCAAGACCTCAACTACCTGGTGAACAAAGAACTTATCGCGTTTGGTTGGATTGTAATCAATATCGCTTGGATATGGATTCCTTACAAGAGGTGAATTGGAAATATTTATATATTGAGGGATTTGAAATAAATTTTTTTGTTTTCCAAAGGGAGGAGATGACGTTTATGAAAGCTTTAACATTATAATGAGACGTAAACCTAAGGAAAATAATTTCAAGGCGGTTTTAGAAACCATCAGACATTTAATGAACACTGAATGTGTGGTACCCGCCTGGTTGCATGATATTTTATTGGGCTATGGTGATCCTAGTGCTGCTCACTATTCCAAAATGCCAAATCAAGTAAGAAGAAAGAAAAATTTTAATTATTTAGTGAGTGATCATTGGTATTTCTAGGAACGTAATTTGGATTTCAATGATACTTTTCTTTCGTATCAACATATTATCGAAAGTTTTCCTGATTATGAAATTAAATGTGATGTTGCTGAGGAACAACGTAGTGCCCCCTTTCGTTTGATATTTGAAGATGTGGCGGAGAAAAAGGACGAATCGGAAGAAGCATCTGAAGATAAGGAGGAGCAACAGCTTAGCAAATCGATTGTGGTACAACCATATAAATTTGAGAATCGTGGTCCCTATTTGGGTAACAAACCCAAGCAGTAAGTAGAACGTTGTTATAAAATCCCTGCCCTAGGCAGGAATCGATCACGAGTTTCAAATCAACAAGAGGAAAACGAAGCAGATAGTGCTAAGAGATAGTTTAATAAAGCAAAACAATGTAATGATGCCACACTGAAAAATCTCGTATACTTTGATCTAATTTGTAAAATTTTCTTGTCCTATGTAGGATTTGAACTCGAGCCTAAAATAATTTATTAATTTAATAGTAGAACTCTTATAATTTGAATGACAATTTTAAATTTCCATTTTACAGAAACTCCATACGCTTTACTCCTACCCAAGTTGAAGCTATACGTGCTGGTATGCAACCTGGTTTGACCGTGGTTGTAGGTCCTCCTGGTACTGGTAAAACCGATGTAGCAGTTCAAATCATTTCCAATATCTATCACAATCATCCCAATCAACGTACATTAATTGTAACACATTCCAATCAGGCGCTTAATCAACTTTTTGAAAAGATTATGGCCTTGGATATCGACGAAAGACATTTATTGCGTTTGGGTCATGGTGAAGAGGCCTTGGAGACCGAAAAAGATTTC